TGGGAGGGCCTAAGTGGGGGGGGGGGGACGTTTCCCAGATGCCCGTGGATTAGAGAAATCCTGTCAGTGTGGCCGGAATCAGGCTATTATTGTCATCTTACGGAAGAGCCTCAGGAGTACTAACTAGGTACAAGAGCTTTGCTGGATGGGTGACATATAAGTGGTTCTGTAATGCCGAGATACGATGTCGGGTGGGGATCGACACCATCGCGGTGAGTTCTGCTTGCTTGCGTCGAAAGGCAGTAAACCTGGGGACGTTGTTGACGCCGAGCTTCTTCAGTATGACAAGGAACACTTTCATGAGGTCGTCTAATATAAGCACACGAGGGAGGTTGCTCACCATGTCCAATAAGAACATCTGCGATGGACGTGAGTCAGTCTTAATCCCCGCTCTTTTCTGCACTCACTGACCACCATCGAACCATGCGGATGTCAGCCGGATTCATCGGGATCAGGAATATCTGGGTGATCATCCTCGTCGACATCGTCTTTCATCCCTTGAGACGTTCTTCATTCGTACGTCAAATCTTGGGTCTGATACACACATTGCGCTCACCAAGGGCTTGAAGTATGGCAACTGCATCGGCAACCAATGGCGGGATTTCTGCAGGCGGCTCTGACTGCTTGTCCAGTTACTCGCCGGCTATTTGTACGAAGATAGTATAGCCTCGATCGCGGTCCAATGCTACAAGTTGGTCCGGCAGGCGATCCATCGACTCTTCACGTATGTTGTCACTTTCTCCCGCTGTAAAATACAAGGTTGACCCTCCCGAACAGCTATCTCGTCTCTGTAGTCGATGAAGGAGTTGCAGAAGTCATCACGGTCAGTATTGTGCCAATGTCCACTACTGCTATGCTCTCGAAGATGTGCAAATATGTCCGCACATCATAACGTCGCTGAATCGAGACTCGCGGGTTCAGAGGATGGATTCTGCACTGACGTCCCCGTGTCTGGTTCTGACCCTGCACCCTGCATGTTTGAGATTGCAAATAGATGCGCGCTCGTGAGTTTGTCGTCGTACTGAGTTCCGCAGTAAGATTTTGTCCGTTCGAGCGTCACCCATGGAGAACGGTATGCACATCACACGCCGAGGATCGCCGGGTACACTCTCGAAGTACTGGGCTAGATGACACAGTGAGTTCGTACTTTGGAGGACATGAGTTACATTGCTCACAGCCAGTCATCTCAGGCCAGCTCGTTAAAATGGTAGTCACCGAGTACGCTAAGAACGGAACCGCGTCGAGGGATCAGCGCGCATTGGTTAACTCTGCGCAGCCCAGCAGTGATCGCCCACCTCGTGCACCGAAGGGAGACGTTAGCATGAATCGATGCTTCAGGTGCCGTCAGATTAGACATATCACACAGGACTGTTTAATCACAGCCGGTGATCAGCCCTTAATTGGCAACAGTGCTGTAGAAGGACAGGAAGCTGAAGAGGCGGAAGCAGGTGAAGAGGAAGAGGGCGGCGCTGAGAAGCAGCACTCGCAAGATAGTGACACAGAATAAATTATTCTGACTGAGTCCCTCATCGAGGATATTGGTGAGTATTACGACGCTCTGCCCAACTATCAGAACAATTCAGATAAGCAGAACGAGCGCCATAGTGAGTACAACTCTGACGAAGGGTTCGCTCACCGCATGTATAGCATGTACACCGGGGAGGATCTTGACCCGATGGACTGCACAGATGACGAGGAAGAAGATCTTTGCCCGTCATACGGACCAGGCTTCTGGGCCCTCCTGCGTATAGGCCAACGGCCGAGCCTGTCTAGATTGTCACCTGAGATGGCTGCGGTAGGAGCAGAGGCAAACCTAGAAGGCTCCATGCGCTGCAGATCACGCGTGAGCATCACCGTATCATACACCATTACGCTCACATACTAATCGGATCTCTAACAGATTAGTTACAATGCGCGCTGTGGGAAGTCGAGTACCTAAAGACAGTGCACGCCAATTCGACACGAAAGATCTAAGCAATGGAAGGAACCTTGTGGAGAACACAAAACGCCTTGGCCTTCGCAGAATTAAAGCACAGCCCGATGGTGCTATGTAAGGACGAGACGATCCTAGAGACTCTTGGGTCAGATGTGCTACGCATTGCGTACAATCTAGACGTCGAGATCTACTGCTGGGCCATGTATGTGACAACAGAGACGGTCACGGACCACCAGGGGTCGCGCGGCGAGCCTCTACCTGGAGAATTGCGCCGCTACAATACCAATCTACAAGCTTTTCTTTCTGAGTACGTTACATTTGGCGATGAAGAGGATTGATCTGACTCGAGACATGAGTCAGACTAATTGCCAAGCGACGACGAATCCGATAAGGAGGATGAGAATGAGGCATCGGCACCTAAGATACCGAGCAGGTGCCGTCTGGGAGTGACCATCGAGAAAGTACCTTGAGAAAATGAGTGCGATAACGTGTCTGAGTATAAGAAGGATGCACTTAGGGCAGAAGTCGACGCTGACAAAGATCCCGGATACGACAGCATGCACAACTTCGAGCGGGTGTCTGACACCAGTGGAGAGGAGTTCCTGACGCATTATCTGAGGACGAGTCGGATAACGCCGAGAGTACTATTTTGCGCTTAACGCACCAGCACCTCCTGCCCAAGCCAAAAACGCACGCGGTCGAAGGACGCTAAGTCCATTCAACAAACAGGACCTAGCCCAAATGCACTGATGTGTATAACTACATACGGAGAGGTCAATGGTATGCAAGCTTCGATACTCATCGATTCCGGCAGCACCTGTGACTCAATCACACAATCATTAGCTGCCGCCTCAAAAGTTAAGACAGTAGCGCTAAACCCACCGTTCACGCAACAGTCAGGCTACATCGGAAGTCGCAGCAAGGTGAACAGGGGAGCGGCCCACTCGCTTACCCTTGGGTACAAGACCGTCTCATTCGTCTACAGCGACATTGTCAACGCGGCGGGATACGATATGATTTTGGGACGCCTTTCATGCACGACCTTATGTTAGCTCTCGACTTCAAGCGCGGAGTGATTGAGATTGATGGACAGGACTCGAAGGCGCTCACAGGCGCCGAAACCGACAAACTTAAGACGCCGATACCAACGCCGACTGCAGCTGAAACAGGCGAGGACATCTTGCCAGAAGTCACGCTCCTGCAGACACTGCCGTATCATAAGCTTATCGATGGCATATGAAATGAGCGGGTCACAACGCAGCGCTCTAACTTTAGAGGGAAGAAGCCTCAGCGCGAGAAAGAGGGTGAAGCAAAGTATGGCGAGCGTGATATCAGATGCACGACTACGAGTTTTGCCCTTGCCTTCAAGGCCAACACGCTCGAGACGCAGAGAGGGGGTCGCCACTTCCTGAGGTTGGCTCTTTGATAGCGGAGCCAGCTGGAAGTGAGAGGCGTTCTGACAAGCTATCACAAGACGTACCAGAGCATGCATATGCGTGTCGTACGCGATCCAGCTCAGGCAAGAACGGCACTGTTGACCTCTGAAGAGCGCGCCGAGCATGGTACGTACTCGTACAAGAAGTACGCAGATGAGATGAAAGGCGTACCACCCAAGTTGCCTCCCATACAAGCAGTCAATCACCAATTGAACAAACACGCCCTGATCGTGGAGGTATATCCTCAAGTTTCCATCTAGACTATCCGTGGCCACCTTCCACCTATTCCTCTTGTGAACGTTGGTGAACGCCAAACATCTATAATCCCCTGTTTGGACTACTACGACCGCGTCGCACCACGTTCAACCAGCTGGCCGCGTCCTTCCAGCATTTGCGGCGGTGCCTTGCCGCCACGACGACATAGACGCTGTCGGTTGGACATGGTCGCTCACAGCATGTCTTAGCACCTTACTGTCAGCATGGGAGGCCCAAAGCCGGGGCTTTTTTGCAGGTAGTCCCCGAGTCGTCCGCTTCACGATGTTCTTTCATGGGTCGTCTTCAAGTGGACTGCCGGACTCGTACCATTCAGTGCACCTCAGCAACGATTGTGTCGCCGAAACTCCGTATACGGGTCGTAAAATAACGAAGAAGCAAACTGACTTTGCGGACATCCGCGTAACGACTGTTGATGACGACCTTTATCAGAGCATCATGACGGGGTAGGAGACTAAGTGAGCGAGATTTAAGCACGACGCGGCGATCATTCAGCACTAAGATGCTTGAAGGTCTGAGGGAGGAAGGAGGGAGGAAGTTGCCCTTTCGAGTAATGAAACCGGCCTCAGTTGAATAATAGATTTGTGCGATGCTGTTTTTAAAAGTAATACAAGTGAAGGGCATGAGGTACCATGATTTTAAACACGCGGGAGACAGCAATCTATTTGCACGTCATAATCTAGAATCCAGAGCATGACCGTACACTTCCAGACCTTATTGCTCGACCTTTGTGTATGCACACACGCATTCGGTCACTATACCGTACGACGCCTCTTTCCGCTTGATAGTTCATGAAGGGAAGCATCATTCGCCTTGCGCCCGACACCCCTCATTTCCCTCACCTTCGTAGACTCCTTCCTCGTGCGCACCCCTTTTCTTGAACTGGGCCCCGGCACGGACGCCGGCTCGGCCACTTCATCCCCCGCAGGGGCCTTTTCATCCCCCGCAGGGGCCTCTTCATCAGATCCCGACGCGTCCTGCGATCCCCACTCATCGTTGCTGCCGTCGTCCTTGGCCGCTGGCCGCTTTATATCCATCTGAAAGCAGTCAATTCTGAGACATTTCGATATGGAAGCACGTCGTGACAACTCACCTGGTGGAAGAGGAAAAATTTTCCTTCCTTTTGGTACTGTTTCAGCGCGTCCGCGTGCTCATAGGCAGTGCCTCCATCACAAAATCCTTCCCGTGTGGGAGGAAGACGGAGAGGAAAGCCCTCGTAGTCGTAGTAATCGGCTGGGCGCTTATGTATGTCGGGCATGATGGCGTTAAAGTCGTCGACGAGGGGGTTGCTGTATTCTAGAAGCGTTAATTAGCTATGTGGTATGCAGGAAGTAGCTTGGACGCACTGAAGGAGTCTTGGTAGAATGCCGCAACGAGCGCGCCGAACGCCTTGCGGCTGTAGCTATCATTGTCGGGGTCATATTTAAAAAAGGGAGCAGCCGCTGAGACTCAATTCAGCAAGATGATTGCTGGCTGTCTGTCCTATACGCGGTACTCACGTGGAAGAAAAGTCTCCGCAAACTCAAGAGCGACTTTTCGCAATGCGTCGAAACTCGCCGTCTTGCTAGGGCTCTGTCTGCTGGTGGGAGCAAGATCGAGAGTAGGAGGGATGTCTTGCCCCTCCGTGGGTACTCCAGAGTCGTATATCCTGCGTGCCGAGCTGGGTTAAGATCTGTCTGGATGTGTTCGGGAGCAGGGACTCACTTTCTTGCTTCAGGCGTGTTACTTTGGTTTTTAACCACCACCATTGCGAGCACGTAGCTTGGACGGCTTGAAGGCATCGTCAGACACAATCAGAGTAAGACTATAATTGGGGCGCACGTCGGTCCCCTCTTGTTCGCCATGTGGCTATGTAACTGCAGTAAAACGCTCTTCCTGAAGGCATCGTTGGTCTTCAGGGCCCCCAGTCCGAGACCAGATGCGACCTCCGTGTCACGTAACGCCATCTCCAACATCGCGGCGACGTCGTCCAGGACTTGAGTGGACACGACGACACCGGCTTCAGGCTGCTTTTGCGGAGACATCTGAGGACTAGAATGACACGTAAGTGGACAGAGAAGGTACGGTTGCACTGCAGATACACACTTGCGCAAGGTTTCAGCCCGAAATGGTATGTCCTTAGGTGGTGATGAGCGTCTGGTGCGGCCAGCCAATGCGCACGCGCGTAGCCGTGTCGCATTGGCCCGGGCGTGCGAACATTCGTTGGTCCGGAGGTCCTCGTGCGGAGACGAGTACTAACCTATGCGGCAACGTCCCAAACTGAATCGATGTCTTACTCCATCCCTTGAACGCGTGCGTGGTAATGACATGTCGCTACACGGCTTGCTTCTCAGCACGAAAGCAAGCTGTTTCGCTCAAAAGATGGGTTAGATGATGGTACTGAGCTCTGCCCTTCCATGTTTACATGGCTTGGTTGACACGATTCAAGCTTGCAGGCTTATTCGCTCGTCAACCATAGGATCGACCCAATGAGAAGGCTGTCCAGCACGGTCTGGCGCGATCAAGCCGCGTCTAGCAGTATCTCAACGTCTAGATCCCACTGGACAGAGTCTGTGGGGTAGATTTTGGGTACAAGCCAACCAGTTACGGCTAGAAGAACCCGAACACGAAGAGCAGATATGTCATAGAGGTGTCTAGCGGTATCAAATTGTGCTCATTGCCCTCCAGTATGACGCCTACGTCCTCGCTACCCTCTCCCATGTATTCGTCTTCTTCGTCTGTCTGACAGATGAGTAGCAACCTCTGCTTCTTGCCTTGCCTATGCAGCATCTGCGTTTTCTTTTTTCGTCAGTCTGAGTGTGTTTATAAGCCTATGCGACCTCCAATGCCGTGCGTACTTGCGATACAAGCAGATCGTGCTCTGCTTCACAGTTCTCTGAGGTATTGAAGGCCGGGATAGGTGCGATCGGATGGTAGTGTAGTGCGTTGCAAACCGGGTGCTTTTGGAACGCAAGTTAACGATGTACTCCTCTGTACAATACGAATGCTCGACAGATGCTCTGAGCTTCTTCAATCTCATGCGCGCTCGCTCTACGGCCCAAATGCCAGTGGCGGCACAGCCGGGTCTGTAGCAATCGTACTGTAGATTGAGATACAACTTGACGTTCTATGCAATTGCACCGGTGAAAGCGGCAGAATGTACGGACGGAGTGGTGGTTCCCACCTTAACAGAGAGTACAAGCAAGCGCTTAGCTTCATGCAGACGATAAAGCTTTGGCATATCATATACTTCATGGTGACGTTCTGCGCGATCAAAAACGTTCAATGTCACGATCGGGCTTGCGCAATCGTTGCAAACAAGGATCTTGACAACGCCGTCTAAGAGGGATGTGCCACGATTCCTACCCTGTAAATTATGAGCTCGCGGGCGGAGTGTCCTGTAAAGATGGCTTTCATGCTGACGGAGACGTAGCTAAAGCCCATCTACCGTTGTCGTATCGGTCAAATGATTGATCATCCAGATATGTGCAGAGAAGCCCGGGGTGTGTATGCGCTGTATCAGACAAGACTCGATGCCGTTATGGTACGAGTGGCTCTTGAAAAGGTCTTTTCTCCGCGTACAGAAATCGTGCGCGTCACTGACACCTACGGTGCTTGTTCTTGCTATATGTGGGTCTATGAAAGGTCCCTAGTGTCCTGGCGATGGTCAGGTGTAAGACGGAATGAATCCTATACGCTCTATCAGGATCTCACTCTGCGGTCAGTATGATGAGATTTTAAGCGCTATATGCTAATTAAACCCTATACCCCTTGGCTTCTCGAATGAGACGGAGATGGTATCGGTCTATCGAGGTCTAACTATTCAACGAATATGACTCGACAGCACTGCAGGTGGGAGCATGAGCAGCGCGCTTAAGCAACCAAAGCATTGGGTCGCGCGAGCATTGCCGTGAGAGTGAAGCGTCGAGATCACACTCCTCATGCCATGGCAGGCCGCGTCTCCAGCTTCCACAGGCTTCTCTTACGCTTTCAGCCACATACTCGATCATAGCATGGGCGGGAAACCCATAGACCCAAACGGTAGCAAGATCGGAAATCTCAACGAGGCCGTGAGGAAACTGGAGGGTCTCCTCACAGAACCCCAAAAAGATGTCGAAGACATCATCAGGGCCCAGGTGCGCATATCGGATGCTCTGTCTCGTCGCTCATAAATGTTGATTCGCCTACCGTATTCTAAATCAGGCGGCCATGGAGAGAGATGTTATGGCGCTACCGGATGGAGTTGCCGCAAAAATTCATAGCATTCTCCAGGACGTGAGGCGCCGCGCAGCTTCCGTTGTACAAGACGAAGCTGCCGTCAATAATGCGAGCGCCATGGACCAGGCTGCGGCGAATGCCATCGACGAGGCTGCTGCAAGCGTTGTCAACGATGCTGGCGCAAGCGGCGTTGACAACGCTGCTACGATCGCTGTCGGAGATGACAGTTCAAGCGGCGTTGACGACGCTGCTACGTCTGCTGTCGAAGATGGCAGTGCAAACGCCTTGGATGATGCCTCTGCGAGCGCCATGGACGAGGCTGCGGCGAACGCCATGGGCGAGGCTGCGGCGAGCGTCGTCGACGATGCTGCTACGATCGCTGTCGGAGATGGCAGTGCAAGCGTCATGGACGACGTTGCTACGTTTGCTGTCGAGGGTGGCAGTGCAAACGCCTTGGATGCCTCTGCGAGCGCCATGGACGAGGCTGCGGCGAACGCCATGGGCGAGGCTGCGGCGAGCGTCGTCAACGATGCTGGCGCAAGCGGCGTCGACGATGCTGCTACGATCGCTGTCGAGGATGGCAGTGCAAGAGCCTTGGATGATGCCTCTGCGAGCGCCATGGACGAGGCTGCGGCGAGCGGCGTCGACGATGCTGCTACGATCGCTGTCGGAGATGGCAGC